CCCGGGAGGGAAATACGGCGACAAATTTTCGCATGTTGGTGACATGGTCCCGAGCGGGGGAGGGGACAGAATATGTGAAACGAGATCACGACTGTTGAGTGGTGGTTGAGTGGGCCATAGGGGTTAGTGTTTGTGGGTGTTGAGGGGAACAAGGTTTGTTGGGGTTTTTGCGGTTTTTGGAAGGAGCTTGAAAATAACATACATGTATGGACTTCAAGGCTCACAAACACAAAGAGAAAAATGGGAAGAGGAAAAGAGTCAACAACCTAATGGCAATTAAAACAACGGACTTACAACGAAAGCTTGATGAAACTCGGGAGCCGAGCAGGCATTTTTCCCAAGTTGATGTCCCTGGACAACACGGCGGGACGGCCTCGGGGATGCTTTGTTGAATAGCAAAGTTCATGGGGGCCGGGGGTTGCAAATTCGTCGACAAACTTTGGCTTGATTAGGTCGGGCATAGGTCCTGGGTGGGCGAGGGGAAGCCCATGGCGCCGACACGCTGCTGGTCTTGCTTCCGCGTGCCAGGCGGGTCCATGATGATCGGTCTTGAGACAAACGCGCTATGATGGGCCGCTTGCGATTTCAGGACGGGCTGAGACTGGGGTTGGGGTTGGGGTTGGGGCTGACGATAAGAATGGAATTGCGTCGCGTGCGGATGCTGTAGGGGTGGTAGTGAAGTTAAGGGTGTTGCAGGGGCAGATGATGATGGCGGGTGTGGATGATGATGTTGGTGATGTTGATGTTGATGGTGTTGATGTGGGTACTGCTGAGGAATTTGTGCGTGCGGCGTCTGTGGGGCCGGGTGTTGCAAGTGCGGCGGCGGCGGCAGCGGATGCGGGCGGGCATGGGAGGTTGGCGACGAATATTGGGGTGGAGGCGCGCGCGGACGCAGTTGTTGGTGATGCGGTTGCGGCTGCGATTGCTGTGGCTGCGGCTGCGACGGGGGTTGCAGAGGTCCGTGGTGCGCATGAGCGGCCGGAGGCGGCGGCGGGAGCGTCGCGGGCGTGGACGGGGAAATTGGTGTCAAGGCTGGCGCTGGTTGTGGTTGGAGATGGTGCTGTGGTTGAGCGTAAGGGTGCGGGTGCGGGTGCTGGTGGTATTGAGGCTGCTGCGAGGGCCCTGGGTGCTGTTGCTGGCCCTGCTGTTGTGGGGACTCGGCAGCTCCATTTCCAGGGGATTCCAAATTTGCCGACTGCGTAGGTCCGTTCGCCTGAACCGTCATCGGGTCTTTCCATCGTAACGGCTTTTCGTTCCCAGGCTGGTCTTGCCTGGTCGTCGACGAATCTGGGCCTGACATCGCCGGGGTGGGCGGTTGCCGGTTCGAGGCCGCATCCGCGGTTGTCTGATGGTGCAAAGGCGGGCTTGTCGCCCGCGCCGTCCCGGGGTTCGTTGATTGGATGTCAGTTCCCACAACGCCATTCACATTCGTGTTGATTGCCGTGTCTTGGTTCTCTGTAGTTATCGGCGATGCTGCTGCCTGCGCCATCTCTAATACCGCGACCGCGACCGCGACAGCTGGCGCATCTGACGCTTGTTGCTGGGGAATCGAGGCCGGTGATGTTGCCGTGGGAGCTGCTTGCTCCTTTGGCCCGGTTTGTGCCGTTCCATCCATGGCAACAGCGGTTTTGGCCCGTGTTGCCTGCTGGCTTGTAACGCACAACTCTCCCGCCGCGGTTTCCAGGCCGATGTGAGTTCCGTCTTCTTCACCACCGAGACGAGACAGCTCGAGTCTTACCTTTGCCCCTCTTGGCTTTTGTGGCCCCGAACCCGAGCAAGGGAGCAAGCCCGAGTATCCTAGCAACGGCAGTGGTACCCGAGGACCCAAGGGCCGTTGAACAAGCAGGAAGCCGAGCAAACAACCTGCAATCCAAGATGACGGCGGAGTGTAGGTATGAGATAATCAAGGCCTTGGATCGAGGAGACTCCCGGAATTGCGGCGCGAAAGGGTTCGGGCCCCGGACTGTAAGAGGCACGGAGAAAAAGGTAGGTAAGTTAGGTAGCGTCACTATTATCTTTTGTCCTTGCAAGCTTTTTCGGTTAAATGGGGGCACCTGCTTGTTTAATAAAAAATTAACATGTTAATTAAACCCTGCCATCCAATCCAGCCAACTTCCGAGATATATATTTGCTAACGAATACTTTTCGTGAGCTCGATGGTGCCCGTGCTCCACAAACCAGACTTTTTTTCCAGGGTCCACTTTCCATTTTCGCACTTACACTCGGTAACGAGCATCAGCACTCAGCTCCTTTGGACCAGTAAACCTGGGCCTGTATCTTTCGCATCGCGTTTTGAAGTCTGAAACTTCGCCTCTTCTTCGTCCCCCGCCTCCACGAACCAAACCAATCCAATCTGAGCTTTGGGGAATGCTGGTATTTGATCTTAGAGGACAAATAAGAAGCTACGATACCCTAGTACGCGGTTGTCTCGGCTGCTGAAACAACCATGCCATAAGATCTGTGCTATGTCCGTAATGTCTGCAGCAGATCATGTCTGAAGTTGAGACTCGTGTGTGCTAATACGCTTAGTATCACAACGGGACTTGAGCCAGGTTACACAGGAGCTTGCCAGTTAGCTTAATTGGATGCAGGATTGTTTGCCTGTGACGCCACCGCACTGTGAAAAGCACGACTTGAAGCGGGGACGATACGGATATTGCTTGTCGTTGGCTGGTGGTTTATGCGGTTGGCTCGGTTGATGCATTTCACAATCACGGCAGCACTTGTTCTTCCTTTACGTAAATGCCTCAGGGCGACAAGTGATATCCACGCTGCATGAAGAACCGCAAAGGGAAAAAAGCAAGAAAGATAAAATACCAACTCGGATGAGAACCTCACCGTAAATGTATCCGGCCGGCACATACGGGATCGCCGGTCGGGAATGCGTAATCATTCTCGAACTACCGCAGCCATGAAACGGGTAAATGCAACAAAATATGTACAATCTCATAACTGAACGGGCCCACACGATCCAAGAGTGTCAACTTTTTAAAGGGATGCTACGCGAGCCTGGCCGGCTTGCCATTAGTCCGTGGGGGTAAGACAAAAGGTTGCTGGTATCATTACAGTGAGATGCCTGCTCGATCCCTGGCGAGCAAGCGGCCAGAGGGTATAACATAAAGCGGGATCCGCTAACAAAACACCAATCCTCTCCCAGCCTAGACGCGCTCCCCGATGCATGCAAGCATCAGCCGCTCATAATCGCCGCTCGTCTCTCCCTTAATCCTGCTGGCCAGGTTGCGATGGTATCGCTTCTCATACGCTCCGCGTACGTTGGCCATGTGGTTCCGGTCCCAGTCTAAGAAGAAGAAGAAGAAGTCAGCAACTCTATCGACGAGAAGAAGAGGGGTGGTGAACATACGGAAACGAACAATACGGCTGACCAGGAGATAATCCTTGGTGCCGGCCCCAGCCATCGCATCCTCGAGGAGCGTTGCCTGGTGCATGTACTTGTCGGCGCCGCTGCGCAGCTGGAACAGGAGAGCGTCCTCCATATGTCCCGAGAATTCCTGTTGGCCTAGTTAACCGGGAATCCTACCGTGCGTGAGTGTGACTCCCGTTGCGCGCATAACTCACCTTTCGAATGACATCCTCCAAGTTTCGCGCAAACTTCTGCTGATACTCGTACGCAATGGCACGGATCTGGTTGTCGTTCCTCGTTGTCAGGATGCTGCAAACCTTCATCTCGTCGGTACCCATTTTGGCCTCCGTCGCGTTGTACAGATCGTTAACATCGCGGTCAATCTCGGCTTTCACAATGGGTGCTGAGTCCTCGGCCCGCTGGGCCTGCAGCACAATCATGAAATGCCTCTCCGTCTTCATGCTCAGATCGCCCCGCACGTCGTCCTCGAGTCGGCGATGGAAGACGCGGTGGTACTCGCCCTTGATGGCATTGATGTCGGCATTGGACCGACTCAGAAGAACGTCATTGAGCGCCTTCTCCTTGGTCCCAGGTCCGGACATGGCCTCGCGAAGCAGGTGGACATCGTTCAAGAGCGGGCCGCGGGCGAGAGCGACCAGCCCAGCTTCAAACCAGCTGCTTGTTTCGCTCTTGATGTCAGCTATAAGATCGCGTCGGTGTAGGCGCGCGTAGGCGTCACGCATGGTGTTGGCTTGTAAGGGGTCCTTGGTCGCCAGTATCCGGATCAACGCCTTCTCGTCCGTGCCGAAGCCTTTCATGGCTGATCTTAGGCCGCGTGCATCCTCGTCGCCATTCCAAGCAATGATCTGGGGCGGGCCATAGCCGGCGGATGGAGGTGTCGGCGGATATTGTTGTCCGTACGGCTGATATTGCTGAGGCGGGGGCTGGCCATAAGGCGGCTGGCCATAGGGCGGTTGGCCGTATGGTTGCTGGGGAGGGGGTTGCCCGTGCCCTTGCGGCGCGCCATATGGTTGCTGTGGCGGCGGCGGCGGCGCGCCATATGGTTGCTGTGGCGGCGGCGGCGGCGCGCCGTAGCCCCCTTGCTGTGGCGGCGGGTAGTATTGGCCCGGTGGAGGTGCGGCGCCGTAGGGTTGAGGAGGAGGCGGGGCTCCATACGGTTGGGGAGATGGCGCACCGTATGGTTGAGAAGGGGGCGGTTGTCCGTAGCCCTGGGGAGGCTGAGGAGACTGCTGATAGTATTGGCCCTGGGCCGGAGGTGGAGGCGCGCCGTATGGTTGGTGAGGTGGTGGCTGCTGGTAGTACCCCCCTTGTTGTTGGGGAGGCGGCTCTGTTTTGGTTAGCCAATGTCAAGACCGATGCGCCCGAGCACCCGTGACGTAGTTTGTATGTAGTATTCAATACTCACGACCGTAAGGCGGATACCCGGAATAAGACATCGCGGGGAAATGTGCTGCACGCACGAAAGATAGTCGCTCGGCCGCTCTGGGGAAGCTCTCGGGTGGTTGTTTTCGCGACTTCGCCCCGGCAAAGGCGGGGGAGGGGCAGCTTCAGTGCACGAAATCTTCAATGATTATGGTAACCAAGTTCCCAGCATCCGCGTGCCCAAAGTGGGTAGACGGGTGATAAATAGGTAGGCTTCTCTCGGAAGGACTAGCCACTGGGGCTGTGGCTTGCGAATCGATGATCCAATCGCACTTCCATCTGACCACTGGCGGATGGTGGTGACTGTGAGGCAGCCGGGCAGTGCTGTCATAGTGTGGCTCAGCGCCCGAAAGTCTGGGCAGACGAGGCACTGGACACTGTGACACTGACGTTGGTTGGTCTGCCTTAGCTGCCACTCAGGCTTTTTGATCATTACGACGGGATGATTGAAACATTGGGCAAGCTTCACATCGTACATACCATGTCCGATTACGAGTACATCGAATCTCAGAGACCAGATCAAAAAGTAAACCCATCCAGGCGCCTTGCCGTCATCAGAAATCTTTCTGGGAACGCGACATCATGTGGGGCCTGGCGGGGTTTGCAGCACTTGCACCAGGTTCCTGCCCCGCATGCCACAACTGATTCCCGTCAGTGTGCAATGGATCCAATTCTCTCCCGACCAGTCGGAATATGGATCTTTTCGGGGGTATTCGATGCACCAGGGGCGAAAACACGGAAAAGAATGGTGGATCTTCTTAAAGGGATCTCGGAGCTCAATTGCAAGTAAGGAGGTTCGAGACCCAGCCAAGGATTAACCTCCGGGCTTGGGGGGCTGGGGAAGTTCGGCAAGTGCCGGTCGACCTCAACCACCTGAATTTTGAACCCCTTCGGGCCGTCCGTCCCGCACACCACAGATCTCGGGATAACCTAAGCCATGCCCATCTGGTAAGGCCCCGTAGCCAGCCATCTTAATTAACAGATCTTGTGAGATTTAATGCCTGTGGTGATCATTTTCTGGCATTTCTACGTCCCTGCCATCCATTATCCGCCGATCACATCCTTGCTATTCGTACATAACAAGAGCTCTGGCTTTCCACTGTTACATCGGGCACTTGCGCTGCAGAAACGGGGTGGGAAAGATGCATCTCAACCAAGCAATTTCGTTGTGCTCAGCCGTTGCTCTACTCATTCCATCTTGCATGTCTTTACCGGCTGATGAGTATCGACTCAAAGCACTCCAAGAGCTTGCGCCAAGGGCAACCTACTCGGTCGTCCCCATTGGAGGCCCGGGTTTGGGTGGGTCCGGGGGCCCCGGGGATTCGGGTGGGTCCGGCGCCGGTTCCGGCCCGGGTTGGGGTCCCGGAAACCCGGTAACGGTCACTGTCGTAAAGACACTCCCCCAGAAAACATGGTTTCGCACCGTATATGTCACATCGCCCCCCAGAACCGAACGCGTCATTGAGACGGTCATCGTCACAAAAACGATACAGGCCGTCCCCATCAGCCAGGACACCAAAACCACCAGGACAAATTCGGAACAGCCAATATCGACGGCCTTCCCTACCTCGACGATAATGTCAAATCCGACTTCATTGTTCACAACAAGCACTGCAGGAATCCCTCACCAAGCGGGATTTATAGGCACAATTAGCAGCACCTCGACCATTTCGACACAAAGTGATTCGAAGTGGCACTCATCATCGCATCCGTCATGGAACGGGACAATCTCACGCCGGGGCTCTCGGAACCGGGTCCAGCCCCAGAATCTTGTTTAATGCACAAAATAAATGGTTGGCGGCTGAAAACGGCAGTGAGCATTATTTTGCTTTTGGATGTCTTTGTCGAATAGTTAATACGTGTATTATACAACTACAAACCCCTGAGAGCGGGAGGATCGGAGAATAGGCAGGTACTAAAAGCCACGGCGGACCAAGGGCTGGAAAAGGTTGGCATTGGAATTGATGACATTGGGATGCTTCCTTGGTGATTTGGGTCACCGTCTTATTTACTTGTACAACCTCGGAACCGCATATTCTTTTCGCCCAAGCAAACACTACAAGGGGCGTGTTTAATAACTCTGATTGGAAGCTGCTTCAAGGTTCCATCCCAACAATTTCCATGACCCCTGAGGCATCCATTACTCGGGCTTCACGAGCAAAATGGCTCTTGTGTCGGCAGCCCACCGCTTCTGTTTGAGGGCCTACCTGACAACCTCGGCCCGTCACAATCTTTTTTGGGTCTTTGTATGTATGTACTTTCGCCAACGTCCGTTAAGACGCACGATCTGGCAGTGTATCGGGTAGCTGCTCCGTGTCTAGGTATTTGCCATCAGTACTGGACCAACCACAATGAAGAAAACGCTGACCAACCCTGTTCGCGACGTGAGTTCAGGGTTGTTACAGGGCATAGCTGCGCACTTATCCATGTACCTGTATGTAAACGCCCTGACATATGAATGTGCGAACATCTGGCTGAAAGGGGCGGGGGACAGAGTGGAACCTCAGATGCTGCTGCAATCCGTTTATTGTCGTTCCGGAGCTCACGACGTATTTGCAAACTTGAACCATTACATAGTCAGAAGGGGTGCATTTTATGACGAAAATCCGTATTATTCAACAGGTACCTACTACTTAGATTGATACCTACGTAGCAAACAGAGACATATCTCGACGACAAGATGATAGGATTTCGTGTACACGAAAGACTACCTCTGCAAAAACCTCACGATCCCGATTCCCAAGGAAGTGGAGATACTAGCCTAGGTAACCTAGAAACGGCAAGTTGCCTACACAAACTTTGAACAGACCAAAAGTCAGCCTGGCAGTATTATTTTATATTTTACGTAACACCGGCAGCCGAGCGCCGTTTGAGACAAACGGGAAGGCGCGGGAATCTACTTAGAAAATGACCAGGGATGGAAGGCACCAGGTGTTCCCTGCCTGCCCGGTGCCTTACAAACCCGGATCGAAGCCAATCTTAAACTGGACTTGAAAACCCCGTGAAAATCATCCAGCTATTTACCGTAAAACACCCTCAACCCAACTCCTCCATCCAGACCCCTTCAAAGACCTTCTTATCAGTTCCTTCTTAAGAGTCAGCCATGGGTATTCTCCGCCGCGGTATTCCGCCTCTGCACCGGAGTATCACGAAATGCATCTCCAACTTGACCACCACGGCACAAGCTGCCATTCACGCAAAGCCGGCCAATATCAACTCCAACACAACCCCTGCCTCCCCACCTCTACCTCCCAGCACCATTCCCAACCCCAGCAACTCCATGCCCCCCGGCTTCAACGCCTCGGTCGCCAACCTCCCAATCTTCACCCTCCCGTCGCGCGTCACACCGTCCTCCCGCAGCGACGCCGCCCTCGGCAAAGCGCTGGTCGACGCCTGGCGCCGCGACGGCATCATCCAGATTGCCATGGACCGCGGCCAGCGCCAGCTCTGGGTCGACGCCCAGGCCGCGAGCCGCGCCTTCTTCCGCCGGCCACACCGCGAGAAGACGGTGTGCGTCGACGACCGGAGCTACGCCGGATACATTGCCTCGGGGGAGGAGATCACGGACGGGGTGGCGGATTATTCTGAGGTTTTTACGGTTACCAAGGATCTTGGGGTTGAAGACCCGCGGGTGAGGGCGGGTTGGCCTTGTCATGGGCCTTGTCCGTGGCCCGCGGGTGGGATGAAGGAGGTGATGACTGCTTTTGAGGGGAGGATGGGTGAGGAGGGGGAGAAGTTGCTGAGCTTGGCTGAGTTGGGGCTGGGTGTGCGAGAGGGGGCGTTGACGGGATATACGAGGGAATGGTTGGCATCATATGCGGGTACTTCGGTAAGTTGCTTGGTATCTTTCGAGGGGAGGTGTGGCGTTAACTGACAGATGCTGCTTAGGTTTCCTGCGAGGACCGCAACTAACGGTAAAGGAAGGAAGGGCAGAGGCATCGGCTCCCATACAGATTACGGTCTGCTTGTGATCGCGGCACAAGATGAGATTGGAGGTAAGTAGACTCTGACCTTGCTGACTGAGTGTGAAGCCGACATGATACCAGGCCTCTTCATCCGCCGCCCCAATCAAGACGAAAAGTTTGCCAACTGGGAAAAGAGCGCGGCTGGTTTGAATGAAGATGATGAAAACTGGGTGTACGTCCCTCCCGTTGAGGGCGTACATACCGTCATTCTCGGTGAGTCAACTCCAGGCACTCCTACGACTCCCACGTCGCGTCTTTTAGTATTGAGTGTTTTGAAATACAAGGGTTATTGCCGCTGATATAGGAACCTTAGGCGACATGATGCAATATCTTACACACGATTACCTCAAGGCGACGCCGCACAAGGTCGGCCTCAACACACGAGAGCGCTTTTCGATCGCTTACTTCCACGAGCCCAACTTTCAGGCTGTCATCAAGCCTCTGGAGGAAGTCGGCGGTGGTATAGGACAACCGGTCGTGAATGACGTCGAGGGTATCCACTACGGGACACACTTCACTAACATGTTCTTGCGGAGCTATCCCGACCGGATCACCACGCATCGAATTTTAGCTGAAGATCGGTGTGATTTACTGAAGAAGCCGGAGCTTCGTCTGGCTGGGGCTATTCCTGCATGACCGCATGGGATAATGCATCTCGGCCTTATGGGAGACTAGGTGAAGAGGTGCAACCGTGTCATGTACACAGCAGACTTTCGTTCCTTGGGATCGCCTCGCAACATGGTGGCGTGTGTAGTGTTGAGGTGTATGGCCGCTTCAAGGAGCCAAGGATACCTATTTGATTAATAGGTAGAGTGGTAGTATTTGCTCATGGAAGTCTCTTTCTTAGTTGAACGAGTCTAAAACTGGTAGTTATGAGGACACAAATTGCATAATTTGAGTAATAGCAAGACCAGAAACTGCCTTCTGAGGAGAAAACGAAGCGTGATTCGGAATCCTGGTGGTTTGGTTTATTATGCTGGGCCATCCATGCAGTTGTCCGCCAGTAAAGCCTAAGTTAGCCTTTAGTACGATATCGACCGTTGTCACCATCGTACCTAACTACCTTAGTTTCGAGAGTGAAGAGGGCTGGGGCCCCACTTGGAACTGTCGGGTTGCAACTTGGGGAAGAACAAGTCCAAAAACTTTGATTTGATACCTAATAAAGCTAGGAAGGAACCATCAACACGCCTTCCCCCCCAACAAGCCAAACTCCAGGCAGCTGCTCATTTGATCCAAGCCCTCCTTTTTCAATTTCGTATGGCCGGTCCATTTCGAGATAGACACGGTTGATCTTCAAAATATTTATATGGAACAATCTTCCCCGACAATCACCGAACCAGTTTGACTTACTCGACGAGCTATATCTGGTTCCTGAGCTCTGCCTTTGTCCCAGACAGTCGAATGATATCTTGGGAAAAGAAAAGCCCGCGCTGAAGGATGAGGGTCACGCTGAATGATGGTTTGCAGAACAGAATGGCAATGGCCATCTCGTTGAAATGGGGTGTCAAACCTCCCTTTCTACCTTGCCATCTCCTAGCGAACAATTGGTAATTAAAAATACTATTTTCGTTGCATGCCACAAAATCCCATCGAGCCATCCAAACTGACCGCAATCCTCAGTTCGATGATCCCATTTGCCGCCGTTTTCCTGAGCGATCCAGACATTCCAGTTGACAAACCGTTGGCCACAATCAAGTTCTACGGCACACACCTGCGCTCCTCGAAATTCCACAAATCCTGCTCTTCGAATCCGAATCAGCTTTACGTCCCGCAGTCTGCCTCCTCATTTGGCTGTCCAATCCCAAGCGCCACGCTTCCATTACCGGCAACCGGCCAGCTGTTGCTGCACGGGCCGAGTTCGAGCTCGCCCAGCCGCATCGTCTGGGAGGATGGCGCCGCGAGTAACTCCGAGGCCGCGCACAGACAGGAGAGGATTTGGTCCGCCGTTTCCGCCGAGATTGCCCCGTCGCGATACATAAAGGCTACTTGAATATGATCGGGGTGCGAGTACGACATAAGGTACAAGTCCGTCACGTCTTGTACACCGTTGGCAATGTCGATAGTCGTCTGGTAGATGTCGTCGCCAACGCGCATATCCCACTGCGACTGATGGTCGATATGATTGATGCGCGTGGTGAAGTGGGGATCTTCGGGCGCCATCTTGCCGCGATTTCCTAGGAGCTCGCGGAAACCGACCGTCTCATGCGGACGCCGCGCGACGTGCTGCGCTTGCGCAGCGTCGAGCAGGTCGCGGACCGAGGCGTCGGCGCGGACAACAATGCGAGCGGCCACGATATTGGCACAGCAGCCGGTCGCGTGAACCGCCTTCGGCTCGCCTGCGCTACGGCCTGAGACGACATCGCCAAAGGTTACGTCGGCTAGGCCCGTGTACCGCGAGAGCGTGAGGCCCCAGGCGGCTCTCATGAGTGTCGCGGCCGTGGTCTGCTCTCCGGACCGCGAACTTGGGCTCGGCAGTGAGACGTTACGCATGCCGTGGTGTATGAGCTCCGACGGACGAAGCACCTGTGGCGGCGCGATGCGCGGCATCAATGCACCTTGGAGGAAGTCGCGCCAGTACGATCGACTTCGTCGTAGCTTTTCCGGCTCGCCTCCAAGCGTGGAAACGAAGTCACGTATGAAGCTGGAGGATTCGGCTGAATCCGCCTTGCCGGCATGAATCGCACCCAGGTCGTCGAGATAATGAGACATGGACATGCGGTCGTATTCTGCGTGACAGATGCGGAACAGGATGCGATGTTGTGATGGGCTCGTGATGATGGCGAACTCGACAAACGGTCGACCAAGGCAGAGCGGGCGGTCCATGTCCCGTGCGATTAGGTCCTTGGTGAAGCCGTCGACAGTGGCGTCCTCAGTCTCAAAATGCCCAATTGCGGGCTGCCACGCTTCCAATACCACCTGGAGCAGCTGCTCCTTGACAAAAACATAGGCCGTTCTTAGTGCTTCGTGCCGCCTGATGAGTTCCCAGCAGCTAGCTCTCCACTTTTCAACCTCGCATGGTCCCTCGCGGGCAAACGTGATATGGACGGTGTAATCACGCGAGTTCCGCAACGACATCACAACCGACAGACCTTGCGAGTCGGTGACGGGGGCAGCGTCGACGGCATGACCACCATCGAGCAGGAGTGGCTGAATGAATTGGGCGACATGTGGACCCGACTCTGCGACTCTTATCGTCGAGAAAGGCCGGTAACTCGACTGTTGGTGAGCATTCTCCGACTGCCTCGCATCTATAACCTTTGCGAGGTCGGCCAGAACAGGATGCTGAAAGATGTCGGCTACCGCTAGAGGCATTCGAGTCCCTCCGCGCGCCTTGGCCACCACACGCATTGCTGAGATTGAGTCACCGCCAGACAAGAAGAAGTCATCGCCAGCGCCTATATCCTGTGGTGGTATCCTCAGAGCCGCCGCCCAGAGCTTCTGTAGCTGTCGCCCAGTATCGGTATCGGGTGCCACTTTCGTGTGATCGGTGGCTACTGAGTATTGCGACGACCGACGAGACTGCTGGATTGTCGCCCATACCACCCGTCGGTCCAGCTTCCCCGAATCCGTCGTTGGGAGCTTGTCAACGGGGATGTACAAGCGCGGAACCATGTAAGAAGGCAGGACTTTTGAGAGGGAATCTCGCAATCGGGCCAGCAGCTCCCGCTTGTTATCGGAGAGCGGTAGCAGGGAAAACGGGCTTTCCCCTCTCTGGTCCTGTTCCAGTCCAGCCTCTGACTCGGCGTGGCGGTCCATTTCCACTGCAACGGACAGAACAGGTTCGCCTGCGCCTGAGTTCTCCCCTTCTCGAGTCAAGAGGCCTGCCACAGCCGCACCTGCTTGGACCCCGAGAATTTTCTTGACCCAATGCTCAATTTCACCAATCTCCAGCCTCTGCCCGTGCAACTTGACCTGCATATCCCGGCGGCCGAGATACATGAGGGAGCCGTCAGGGGCTTGCCGTACCAAATCACCAGTCCGGTAAAATCGCCGCCCTGATTTTGGCCCGAAGTCAAAGCACTCCAACCATGCTGGATTGGTTATAAAGGCTGCAGCAGTTTTCTCCCCATCCCCGAGGTAGCCACGCGCAAGCAACGGACCTTCGAGAAGGAGCTCCCCTGGGACGCCAACGGGGACGAGACAATGGTGCTCAAGTGGGTCGACAACCCACACGTTGCTGCCAGGAACGGCGGTTCCGATACTTGGCACCTCATTCTTATCTGAAAGCCGGCTACAGGTGGAGGTGATGCTGCACTCGGAAGGTCCATATGCGTTCCAAGTTTGGACGCCACCACCCACCCACCTTGCGACTACCTCGCGCTTGAGGGCTTCGCCCACGAATAGCAAGGTCTTAAGGGAGGGTACTGTTTCGGGCTGAAGAAAGCCGGCAACTGTCGGAGTTAGGCAGGCAAAGCTGACGCGCATTGTCTCCATTGCGGCGGCGAGATTGCTGACACGGTCCTCTTCTGATGGCACACAAACACAGCCGCCACTGATCAGGGGTATAAAAGTCTCGGCAATGCTACCGTCGAAGGTGTACGAGGCAAACTGGAGAGCCCGAGGTGCTGTGGGCCCGGCAAACAAATCCACGTGCGTCTTCAGACTTGTCGCCAACGCGCGGTGTTCCAGAACGACACCCTTCGGGACGCCGGTGCTCCCAGAGGTGAAGATGATGAATGCAGCGTTTGTTGCGTTTATCACCTCGCAAGCTGGTCCCTGCTTCCTGGAGGGCAACCCACTCATGAGGTGTTGATTCACGGCTAGGACGTGGGGAACCAGTCCGCAGTGCAACTTGTATTCTTTGGAGCTGAGGAGGACTCTGGCTCCGGTGGCTTGTATAATGCCTTGGACGCGTTGAACGGGGTGATTGTGGCCAACAGGTACGACAACGCCTCCGGCCCTGAGAATGGCCAGATGCGCGACAACGGCCCAGAATGACTTTTCAAACATCATCAGCACTGGAGCTTCGGGACAAACACCGAGGCCGACAAGATGGTGGGCAAGATTGAGGGACAGACTGTCCAATTCGGCGTATGTCAGTTGGCCATCCCACGCGCAGACGGCTTGGGCGTTAGGCTGGGCGAGGCTCTGCAAATGGACAAGATCATGTATGCACTTGTCGCTTTTGGACTCGGCTTCTGGGCTCCATCGATTCCATCCGCGGATGCGTGAGAGGTCTTGAGGTCCCAACATGTCGACGTGGGCGAGAGGGCTATTGGCGGCACCAGAAGCGGCGGCGGCTCGAAGCTGGACGAAGATGTGCCTGAACCGCTCCATGATAGTCCTGGCTTTGTCAGAGGGAAGCACAGTTTCATCGAAATGGGCCTCCAGCTCAACATCGTGGCTCTCGTCCTGTGCTTCCGACCCGGTGTTGCACTCTACCACCAGTGGATACGCGTGAAACGTCGCCATGGAACTGTGCGGTACCGGCTCCAAACCCTGTGGTAAAAGCGATGCGCTGTCTTGACCCACGCGGTCGGCGAAGGGCTGAACGACGAAGAGATGATTGAGCTCGAGTGTTTTGCCAGGTAGCATCCGGTTGATATTCTGCAGCCCGATATGCTCAAATGGTATCATGTCAACCGCTTGTTGCTGGACCGTAGCAAGATAGTCGCCAACGGAGCGGTTACGGCTAGTATTGATTCGAACAGGTGCAGTGGCCAGCGTCGGAGCTGCCATGTCGAGGATTCCCGGCACTGGTGCCATGCGCCCTGAGAGCGTGACTGCGAAGACAACATCGCGGCTGCCAGTCTCCTGCGACAGGACGAGAGCCCAGGCTGCTCTTAGCAGGGTAGCGGTTGTGAAGATGCTTCTTGCGGCGGCTGGAGCTATGCGAAAGCTGAGAGCCGAAGATGACCGCGATCGATGGTTCGGGGGAACGGTGGGGAAGCCAGAGCCGAGGTCGCCCTTCAGCTCGGAGCGCCAGTACTCCTCGGCTTCTGATTGAGCGTTTTCCCGCCGAAGATACTTGATGAAACGCGTGTAGGGCACAAACGCGGTTGTTTCTTGCCCAGAGTAAACGTCCCGGACGGCCCGGAGCAACTTAAAGCACGACCAACCATCGTAGGTGCTATGGTGGGCTTTCCAAACGAAGAAACGGCCGGACTGGGGAGTCAACACGACGGCAAAGCGCATGAGCGGCCTGCCAACGCCCATGGAATCCGGCTCGTCCTGGGAAAGATACGTCTCTAGATCTGACGATACTGTGCTCCACGGTAGGGACTCTCGAATGACCACTTGTGTGCCAGCCTGAGCTCCATCCCCTGCAATGATTCGTGTACGAAGCATTATGGCCATCTCGGATACCTTCTCCCAAGCGCTTCGGAAGCGGTCCACGTCCAAGTCGTCGCCCATACGGAAGACCCAGCAACCGACGTATGCTGACTGTTCCCGTGCTGTGAGAGCGAGTAGCCCTTCCTGGAGGGGGGTGCATGGGTAGGCGTCTTCAATGTCGTCCGGTGTGACGCCGCACTGTATGGAAAGGCGAACTAACGTGTCCTGCGAGGCGGATGAGGTTGGCATCAACGAGAAGGGAGCCACATCCATCCCGCCTGCACTACTCGCATCCACATGCCCAGTGTTACTGGCTGAGTTTCCGGCCACAATTTTGGCCATATTCTCCAGCACTAGATTTCCAAACACATCGGCTATCGTGAGGCGGATTGGGGGGGTTGCCTTCGCGGCCATGGCTATCAGGCGCATCGCAATAACCGAGTCGCCCCCGAGACGGAAGAAGTCAGAAGCCGGCCCGATAGCTGCGTTGGTGCTGAGAACGGAGACCCAGAGATCTCGTAGCCGAGATTCTGAGTCGGTCAATGGCCTCCCGGAAGAGCGGGATTCGTGAATCAAGGCGTACTGGGAAAGTTGATCCTCGCCTAGGTCGTTGAGGAGGTTCCTGAGCTGGCCTCGATCGATCTTTCCAGAAGTCGTCAACGGCATTCGCCGCACCGGAACGTACATTGATGGGACCATGAAGGAGGGGAGCGCTCGCGCGAGGTTGTCTTGAAGTGCTGAGAGAGAACAGCGCAGAGCGTCGGTGAGCGGTAGAAAGGGCGACGTGCTATCGGGCGTGTCCTGACATGAAATCTCCAGGGCAATTGCCAGGACGGGGACTCCGTTTCGCACAGCTGGCGCAATGAGAGTGGACACTACCTCTCGTGCCTGGTCAAAGAATTGTTTCGCCCAATACTCGATCTCGCCCACCTCAAGCCTCTGGCCACGAATCTTGAACTGCCCATCCCCACGCCCAACGTAGGTAAGGGAGCCGTCTGCGGGATTTTGCCTGACCAAATCACCCGTTCGGTACATTCGCCTCGGGGTGCTTCTATGGGGTTTGGCGAGTTCATGCCTGGAAACGAAGGCGGGATCGGTGATGAAGACGGCTGCCGTCCTTTCCGGGTCGTGGAGATATCCCTGGGCCAAGAGAGGACCTTCAATCAACAGCTCTCCGACGGCGCCGATAGGCACCAAGCGATTGTAGTCGTCCTGGTTAACTACCCACACGGAAGCCGCCGGAGAGCGGCCTATGTTGCTGGAAAGGTTCTTGTCGGTGACGGGGCCATTGATGGCGCACATGATGCTGCATTCCGTCGGCCCGTAACAATTAAAGATGGAGGCATGGCTTGACCACATCTCGACTACGGCAGGCCGAAGGGCCTCTCCACCCAACGCCAAGGTGCGTAGCGAGGGAACGGCCGTAGGGTCGAGGATGCTGGCCACGGTCGGTGTTAAAAGCATAAAGTTCACCTCCATGTCCCTCACCACGCGGGCGAGGTCGTTGGGGTTCATCCTATCCTCTTCAGACACGACACAAATACACCCACCAAACCAAAGGGTTCCGAGAATGTCGAAAATGCTCGCGTCAAAGGTGTAGGCGGCGTATTGCAATGTCCGAGTGTTGGTATCGAGGCAAACCGTGGCGCCATGGGCGTCGAGGCTGGCGCAGAGGCCACCATGCGTGACAACGGCGCCCTTGGGTAGGCCGGTGGACCCTGACGTGTACATGACAAGGACAGGGCGCTCCGAGGTTGGCGATGGCCGAGCCGGGGGCCCGGCCGCCTCTGGGAGCTTCTCGAAGAAGGCGGCGTCGACTATACACTTGTGCGGTGCTTCCACGTGCTCAACTACGGATGCACATTGATCCGAGGTCAGCACAACCGACGCCTTGGTATTTTCCAGAAGCATGCTCAGGCGTTGCGGCGGCAACTTCATCCCGAGAGGCACTATTACGCCGCCTGCTTTGATGACGGCCAACATGGCGACGATTGTCCACATGGACTTTTCGAAACAAAGACCGACCATGGTATCCTCACAGACTCCAAGCTCATCGAGATGCCGGGCCAGCCGATCCGACAACGCGTCCAATTCAGCGTAGCTCAGCTCGCCGTCCCAGGAGCACACCGCCTGGGCGTCTGACCGCGCGAGGCATTGCTGGCGAATGCGCTGTTGGAGGCAATCCTGGTTGGTGGCGGGTGGAAGATCTGGGTTCCATTGAATCATCTTTTCAAAGTCGGAGGGGCTCAGAGCCTCCAGCTCGTCCAGTTTATTCTTGATGCCGCCCGCGATGGAAAGCAGCGTGTGTCGGGTGTTTTCCAGCACAAGCCTGGCGGACTCTTCGTCCATAAAGGATGTCGAGTAGCGAAGAGAGATCTCCATGGTGCTATCGCCAGCCTGAACCTGGAGACTCGCGTCATACTCTGTCGATCCTTCCATAGCAACATTGCGTATACCCAAGCGGCCGGAGGCCGGGACATGCTCCGAAGACTGACGGAAGTACGACACAGTTGTGTTGAAGAGGCCCTTCTCCGGCAGTTGAAGCTCGGGCTGAATGTTTCTAAACGAGGTTCTGTGATTCTCAAATGCTTTGAGGAATCCGCATTGCACCTGCTGTGCGGCGTGGGCAACCGTCATCGACGGGTCACCGAGCCGGATGCGCGAAATCATCATGTTCAACATGGGACCGACAATCTCGTCAGCACCAGGGACCTGGCGGAATATTAGTAACTGTCGACACTGTCGGGATAGAGAGTCAGGGATCAGAGGAATCTCACCGGTACACCTCTGTCACTGGTTACATAACCAAAGACGACGTCGCTAGATCCGGTGTATCGTGCCAGGACGATCGCCCATGCCAGCTGCACCATATTGGCCACGGTTACGCGGTGGGCGTCACGAAAGCCGTGGAAGATGTTGATATCCCCGATATATGCTGTCACGACGCTTGCCCCTACCTTGCCGGTTGCCGTAGGCTTCATGAGCTGTGTGGCCGACGGTGGGAGGTAGCATGGCTGGGCATCGGCGAGTTGGTGAGTCCAGTATGCCAACGACTCTGCTTCAAGCTTCAGGGGCAAAAACTCAACATATGCGCCAAACGAGGGCGCGGCCGACTCGGGAAGGGTGTCCTCGTATGCGTCGACAAGATCGCGGAGCACCAAGTCAAGAGAGGCACCATCCACGAGCGCAGGGCTAATCTCCAGCTTCGCGTACACCGCCCCGGATTCGGTGGTGTAAAGGGACAAGGAATGGTTTGGTTGACCGGATATAAAGGGGACCGGCTCGGCTTGAGAAAGAGTAGAGACGAGGTCGTTGGGCCCTGTTTGGTTGACGACGCGGACTTGAGGATTGCACCGCTTCAGGACCACCTGGTAGAACAGATGTCCCTCGCCGGTGGTGACCTGGACAAAAATGGTTCGCAGGATTTGATGGCGGCTGACGACGGCACGCCAGGACTGCGAGAGCCTGTCTATATCGACCCGGCCCCTTGCCTCGGGGGGGTTGAGTTCGCAGATGCGCCGAATTCTGTACGTTGTGTGGTCCTTGGTCTGGCTCATGACGATGCTTTGCTGCGTAGGAGAGCAGAAGTACACGTCTTCCACCTCGTCCACACCCGCGATTCCCACTTGGGACATGGAAGCCCATAGTTGAAAGAGGCCTTCATGCGCCAGATCTGGTGTGGAGGTATCGCTCGCCTTGCCTTCCGCTCTCTCCAGAAAGGACCGCGAAGCGTTCAGCTGCGCAAGAACGTCCCTCAACGGCCTATTAAGCGATACACCCGGCAAATGACCGGGGTCGGCGTCCAAGGAAGCGTGCGAGATAATTTGCGCCACCGTCATGCTCTGTAGGATGTCTCGGACAGTGAGGATAATGCCATGTTGATTGCGACATTCGGATATCACCTGCATTGCGCTGATGGAATCCCCGCCCAAGCTGAGAAATGATCGATTCATGAGGGCCTCGTCCGCCGGTAGCCCGAGAACTTTAGCAAACACCGCCTGGAGTTGTTCTTGTAGCCTGCTCACAGGTGCTGCTGGAGCATCCTCTTCCTGAATGGAAACCAGATCTCCAATTACCCCCCCATCTTCATGGAGGATATCGGTCAGACGGGTCAAGATGTGCGCAAACCGGGCGAGCAGACGTTCTAAAAATGATCTCGACACCATCGTGTCATCGAACCGAGCGTGGACCTTCACGACCGAGGGGTCAGCATTCCCGCCCGTGAGGCACTCGATCGAAAGGCCATAGCCATCCGCCCGTGTGTCTGGTGCAGTATGGACCTCTAACCCGAGAGGCGGCGTCGTCGTCACGCTCGTCCACACATCGGCGGGCTGCACGGTGAAAAGATGGCCCAAATCCAATCTAGCACCAGTATGACGGTAGATGCTCTGCAGCCCGGTGTGCTCTGGCGGAGAAATGTCAGAAATCAGTTTATTTAACAGGAGAAAGAGTTGCGCGCAAAATACGCACCGAAGGGCATCATCGAGACAGCCTGCTGCTGGACCGCAGCCAAGTACTCAGCGGTTGGTTGCGCTTTGTCAATGCGGATTCGAACGGGCACCGTCGTGATGGTCGGCGCCAGCATGTCAGAGACGTCTCTGACGGGAGCAGTCCGCCCGCTGAGGACACAGGCGAAAACCACGTCGTCAACCCCGGTGCACGAGGAGACAGCCAACGCCCATGCTGCTCGCAAGAAACTGGACATGGTGATATCGGCAAATGCCGGCGTTGCCGTCAAACTGTGTATCATGATTTGGCTGGGATCGGGGTTATAAGACGGTTTCGGCGGGGTAGGAAATGGAGCGGGAGATTGGCCGCTGAGCTGTGATTGCCAGAAGGACGCAGCCGCCGCCTCGTCAAGGTTGCCGAGATATCGGATGAATCTGGGGAATGGCGGAGAGGTGGGGATGCAGTCATCCGGCTGATGGTATGTGTGAACGGCCATGTCGAAGAGTTTCGCCCAGCTCCAACCGTCATAGGCGCTGTGATGGGCAGTGAACACGACGTATTGGCCCATCTTCTGAGTTTGGGTTACCCGGCGATGGCAATGCGAACCAACGGCGACCCATAACTCATGGAACACTCGTCGTCTTGGACGAGATATTGGCCCAGATCGGTACCGGAGCACCACCTTAAGTCCTCGCGTACCACCACCTGCAGCGCCGTGCCGAGTGATCCTAGCACAAGCCGAGTCCTCAGCAAAGGCGCCGCGCGGGCGACTTGCACCCAGGATTCTTTCAGCCGGGCCGTGTCGAGCTCAGGCGGTATGCGGTATACCCAGCGGTTCACGTACGCCCGCGGTTGCGTGGCGGTGACAGCCATCAAAATTTCTTGCAAAGGGGTACAAGGGTAGACGTCCTCAATCATGTCGATAGATACACCGCACTGCTCCGCGACCAGGCGCAGTTGCTCGTCCATCGTCGTTGAAGAGGGTTTGCCGTCGTTCCCCACAACACGTTCTGCCTCCTGCCAGAGGGAAAACGGCGGCACCTCGTCGTCCACACGCAAGCGTCCCTTGCCCCCTGTATGCTCCTGAGCTTCAGCCTTCTCTAGCTCTTGCGGTCGGTCAACTGGTCCTAGCACGTCTGCTGGTGTCAGGTGGTCGCCGGTATCAGCGACGTCCAATGGGGCTGTGACAGATGGGTCCACGTGGCCGTTTGACAAAGGTAACGCCGAGTCATCTTCGCGGGTTTGACGTTGCACGTAGCGACAGAATTCCCGGATGCTGGTGGCCTGAAGCAAGTCTTGGACGTTGATGGTATATCCCATACTTTGGCAGCGCGCCATCAACTTGATCGCAAGCAGCGAGTCTCCGCCATGAGCAAGAAAGGACCGCCCGAGCTTTACCCTGGCAAGCGGCCGCGAGAGGACCTCGGCACATAATTTGTGGATGTCCTCCTCGATTTGTTTGTCAACTGTGGCTGTCGCTGCCGGCGCCGCTGCGGCGAGCTTGGGACTCCCTAGAGCCATGGTGATGGTTCCGAAGTTTCTGGGCATGAATTAGCTCCCATCTTCGGATTGATGCGACTAAATACCTTCGGTGATGTGTGTGTGCGTCCGTGTAAGGTGTATCTGCGTGGGCGTGGGCAAGAGCTGCGTCACAATGTCAACCGAGAGGATGGCAATAACTTAATAAGGGTTACAAATATTCACAACCATGGGAGGATCACGAATTTAAAATGCCGATACAAACGACTCGACGAGAAGCAACTGGAGTTGCGAAGCCGGCAATCATCGAGCCTCTGGCAATTAACCAGAGCAGACGAGGGTGAAGCCGCCTCTGGCTTGATGCTCCGCATATCACGAACTACGCTTTCTAGCAGCGGCTCACTCGTCCACTAATTGCAGAGCATTCTGGCCCGGACCGGATCCCTCCCGCTTGTAGCGGTCTATTAGTTGTAGATCAGTCCCCTGAGACACGGTCCTGCGCCTTTGCCGCCCTTTCCTGCAGCAGGCCAGCCGCCAGCAGCTAAAAAGAAAGGTCCGAAAAGTGTGAAGGCTTGGGATGTGCTGTCCCGCTCTGATTCCTCGGTTGCACGGGCGATCTCCCGGTGGGTTTTTGTGCAGTCTGTAGGTAAGCATGTACTTTCTTGTACCCGCTAGTATGTACACTGCCTTCCTTCAGGCCGTCAGGGGGGCTGAACGATCATCGCGGAACGCAAACGCCCACCGGTCGCTCCCTTGGGCTTGCTTGGGTCGAGACGGTGGAGCGGTCTGGATCGGCCTGGATGTAAGTGGGATGGCCTCAACGAGAGACACGCATGGCTTAGCTGGAACTCGGTACATGGTCTCGAGGTAGTTCGGCCATCTTTTCAGCCCTCCCCACTCCAGGAAGATCCCGCTGCTCGCCAAGATTGATTGCCGGGATCCATCGGGGGTACCCCCAGCGATCGACAATGCTGTCAACATACGACACATGTACACTACACAACACACATCGTGTGAACCAGACACCAGGGTTCGAGAGGCACGCACGTGGCAGGCAGAGCTGCTCTCGACTGGCCACACGACAGCATATCCGCTGTTTAATTACCAACGGGCCGCGCCCGGGGATCTATCCGACCACCCAAGACCCACGCTGTCTGTCGGAAATCCAACAGCGAGAGCACACTAGTTAACTAGCTGGGGTTCTCCCTTGCCATGGACCCACCGTACCGTCACCCCCAACACTTTCTGGCGATCGATCATGCACGAGCCGGTAATTGGGAGTCCTTCCCAGGTGTGATAGGTTGGTATTTGTTTGTTCTCGGTGGATGCCAAAGCTTATACCCGGACAAGATTGTCACCATGTTTGAAACCTTGCCGCGCTATGTCCGCTAAAAGAATTTCATGAGTTGTTGGACCTGTGCTGGATAGGTAGTTAAGCTTCTGACCCTTGTTTGCTGATTTTGGCCCAACAATTTTCCGAGCATTCGACCGAGCCCAGCCGTGACTCACTGGCTGAGAGCCCGAGCTCCTCCTATCCCTGGCTTGAGTTCACGTTGGGACTGCGATAGAAGTTGATGTGGACGAGTAACAAACTGACATGGTGTGATTAGTTACAAGGGCCATTGAATTGAGACTGGTGAATTCAAACGGATCATTAGGCTAAACCGTGCGGCGGGATGGATGGCAGTTGTAAAGCTTACTGATAACCAAAACAAACTTAAAGTTCGTAGGTAGGTATTGCCGGGAGAAACCTGAAGTAGAGCAAGGAGGCGTACCGTTCCGAGTTCTACACCATTACATGGTTCTAACTGAATATAACATCAGGCAACTTGCTAAGGGTTTCTCGTAATATTAACAAACAAAACCGTCTTGAATTGTAGTACCGAATTATCCCAGGAATCTCGGCTTCTCAACATCAAGCTAGCCCCTGAAAGTCGCAAACTTAGCCAGTCCTTCATCCGCCTTCAACTTCTCCAGCGCGTCGGGCTCACAAAGCGCCTGGACCTCCAACCCACCCTGCGGGTCAATGGGAAACAGATACAAAAGCCCTCCCTCACGATAGGCCAAGCGAAGACAGACCGGGGCGCCCAGCGACGGACCCCAGTCCGTGCGGCAAATGTCCAAGCCCGACACGTCCGTGACGCCAAAGTCGGGGCCAGGAAAGCCGTTGTAATTCCATGTCAAGTCCGTGACAGCAGGCAGCGTGTTGATCAAGCCGATGTAGGTACGCACGGCGGCATCGTCGACAGCCTCGGTGGCCGCGCGGATGGCGGACGCCACCTTGGCCAGCGATGTTCCCGTCGCGGGCGAGCAGAGTTCCGAGAGGGGAAGCCGCGCGTGGGCATTTGGCTCGCAGATATTTCCGATGTAGTCGCCGCTTAGAGGGGGTAATAGACGCGCGCGGAACTCGAGACGGGTTGTGAACAAGGATGTTGCTCCTTCTTCGCTGCGGTCGAGGAGCCCACGCGCCCGGCTGATATGCTTCCAGAAAAGGGCACTGACGGCCTCGACGGGCGTAAAGGCGCCCGAATTGCCGTCTGCTCCGAGCGAGTCGCGCAGGCTTTGGAGAGATTCCGAACTAAGATACCAGGTGCTTATTTGGAAAGGCGCACCGAGCGGATCCTCGCGATCCAGGAGATGCAGCGACGCAGCCGAGCGTGGAGACCGCGCGTTGGCATCGACGACATACTCGGGAATCTGGGCGATGGTTGCGTTGGCGGCTCCGTGGTCGAGGCGCCAGCGATCGCGTGCCTCCTCCGCCGGGATGATGGCGTCGTCGGGCTCGCCACGCAACATTGACTCTTTCGTATGACGGGCCCATGAGTTGAGCAGCACGTTGAACCCCCGTGCGTCGGAGACGGTGTGATGCCAGCAGATGGCAAGAATAATGCCGCCTTTGATCAGGTTTAGCTGGATGCTGAGAGCCGGGAGCTCCTGTACATCCTCAGGAATGTCGACTAGTGTCGAGTCCACTAGGAGTTCGGTCGGCACGTCAGAGAGGGAAAAGTGCTTGGCCGCCAATTCTTGAAATGACCCATATGACCAAGCGCCCTTGTTGACCTCGGCCGTATGGTCGAAAACTCTCCATGACGCCCCAGATTTCGGATTCAATTGAAGCTGAAGTTCCTTCCTCGTCGAGCCAGGAAGAGGTGCAACGGTTGAGGCAAAGTCAGGTGCCTCGCTCAGGGCGACGGACAGGCTTTTTTTGAGGTGCTCGAGGACGGGATCGTTTGGCCCCTCGTGATCGAGCTCGAAGAACAGCAATGGTTTCGCATAGTGCCGTTGGGCTTGTTGGTCCAGAGCAGAGAGGTGAATAACCTCCTCGCCGACTGGCACGCTGGGCTTGACTGTCGTTGTCGCCATCGTCATTTGCCGGCGGAGAAGACACGAAAAGTTGATAGTAGAATGTGCTGGGAATAGAAAAATGCTCCGACAAGCGCCTCTTCATAGATTGCCTTAGCGACAAGTAGCTCCTCCAAATGACAAGGAGTTCCTCTCGATGACAAGCACTTCTTTCTGTGACAACCAGCTCCGTTTTCCCCATGCCACCCTGAGGCTAACATGCCATGTTTTTTTTTTTTTTTTTCTTTTGCTGGCTTAGCGGCGGAAGCGCGGCAGCTTGTCACTCGCTCTGCTTGCCAACCTATGACAGGCTGACTAGTTGACCATGTTTCTGATTTGGAGCCTGTTTCACATGAGCGATTGATTCTCTCCAAAGGTTGGAGGATCGGCAGGCATGGCTGACGATAGCCGAGCTGAAATTCGTTCTATGTACAACAGCTCCTGGTAATGTTGATCCCTAGGCCAAGAAACGATCGCCAGTGACGAGACATGTCTTAGTGTGTCGCTACTCAACCCAAAATGGAAGTCTTCAGCGGTGAAGTCTCGAGATGTATCGACAAGTTCCCGTACTCGGATAATGATCCTGGATTATCACATGCAGACCCGGGAACGACGACTCTTCGTGCGGGATGAAGGCCGAGCTCTCTCCATCACATGCCTTGAATTAGCGTCCACGCAAGTGGGCTGTTTTGTCGTCAAAGGAGCCATTTCTCAACCATCTCTCCCAACTTCTTTCGCCTCCACAACACCAGACGATACTATTAATTTCTTTCCAACAACCCTCACGGTCGCCCGCACAAGAAGCCACGGCGCAAACCACCCACATCATGCTCATGGAGAGTGAACAATCCGCCCCCAGAAGGGCCGGTAGCGAGACAGGAGAGAGCGAAGCATCAACACCATGGTCCATCCTTAGCAGGCACCATGACGGGAGCTCCAGCGAGTCGATGGGTCATGGGCCCGCTGAACCCATTGCCATCATTGGGATGAGCTGTCGGCTGCCTGGGAGCGCGGCCGATACATCTTCCTTCTGGGACATGCTCGTATCAGGGCGCTCGGCGTGGACGTCGGGGCCAGGGAAACGGTTCAATATGGCGGCTTTTCAAGATCCGACCGCTAAGAAGAGTTCAACCGTGAGTGCCGCCGGGGCTCAGCTCGGCTGCCGCTCGACATTGCTAACCTGCTTACTTTCTTCAAGACAAACGCAGGCGGCGGACACTGGTTAAAGGAGGATGTCGCCACGTTCGACGCCTCATTCTTCGGAATCAACCCTGTCGAGGCAATTGTAGGGGCTCCCCACTGTTGTTTTGCTCGTTTAACTCTGGACCGTGTCTAACGATGAACGTCTCCCGTAGGCCATGGATCCACAACAAAGACTGCTTCTCGAAGTTGCATACGAGTCCTTTGAAAACGCGGGTTTGAGTCGAGATGCCCTCTGGGGTTCCAACACGGGTGTGTTCGTCGGCCAGTGGAGTTCCGACTACCACGAGATGATGACCCGTGATACGGAAGACCCCCCTCAGTACCTCGTCACCGGCACGGGTCCGGCGATAACATCCAACCGTATATCTTATACCTTCAACTTGCGCGGGCCTAGCTTCACGGTCGACACGGGCTGTTCCTCAAGCTTCGTGGCCCTGCATCAGGCCGTGCAGAGCTTACGCCTCGGTGAGACAACCCAGTGCTTTGTCGGTGGCGTCAACCTGCTGCTAGATCCGCAACGCTTCCACTACCAAAGCCGCTTCAAGATGTTTTCGGCCGAAGGGCGGTCTTTTTCATTCGACTCGCGCGCCAACGGCTACGGTCGCGGTGAAGGGTGTACCGGTGTCATGCTCAAGCCGCTCACGGCAGCTTTGCGCGACGGAGACAACGTACGGGCCGTGATCCGGAGTTCGGTCCTCAACCAGGACGGACGCACCCAGGGTATCACCCTGCCCAGCGCGGCGGCGCAGCGCGAAGCCATCTTGAAGGCGTACCAGCAGGCCCATCTCGAGCCCTTTGCCGATTACGTCGAGGCCCACGGCACAGGCACTAAAGTTGGAGATCCGATCGAAGTCAGTGCCATAGCATCGGTGTTGTCCCAGGGCCGGGCCTCTCGGCGGAAGCTGCCCATCGGCTCGGTCAAAGGCAACATTGGTCACCTCGAGGGCGCTGCAGGCCTCGCCGGGTTGATCAAATCTGTCCTCATGCTGGAGAACGGGGTCATTCCGCCTCAGGTAAACTTTAAAAAAGTGAACCCCGAGATCTTACTAGACGAGTGGAACTTGAGGGTAAGTTCAAGTTCACGATCTCACCCCCGCATTATCCTTGGAGGCTTTGCTAATAGTGAGATTAGATACCACTGCAAGCAGAACGGCGGGCCCTGCGCAGGATTTCCGTCAACAGTTTTGGCTATGGCGGAACCAACGCCCATGTGGTCTTGGATGCGGCTGCCGAGCACCTACAAGCCGTCGCACCGTCGCTGCGCCGAGCTTTGTCCTGGGCGAACACGACAAAAGCCCCCCGGGTTTTCATCCTCAGTGCGGCCAGCCAAAGCTCATGCCAGAGGATGTGCAAGCGGATAGCCAAATATCTCGTAGCGAGCCAACGTCACGGACGGGCGGTCGAGCCAGACCTGTTGCTCTCCCGGTTGTCATACACGTTGAGCAAGCATACCATGCTCCCCCACCGCATCGCTCTCGTTTCATCCGATATGGGCGACCTGGTGTCGCAGTTGCTAATGGCCTCATCTGGCCCAGTGCCGCCGCGAGAGAAGAAGAACAGCAGCCGAATCGCGTTCGTCTTCAGCGGCCAGGGTGCACAGTACGCCGAGATGGGCCGGCAGCTTCTCCAAAGTCGTCCCGCATTTTTCCGGGCTCTGGAGCGCGCCCGCGCACACCTCTCGCGCCTGGGGTGCAAATGGGATCTGGTGAGCGAACTGTGCCGTCCCAAGGCGGAATCGCGCATCAACGAACCCGCCTATGCCCAGCCCCTCTCGACGGTTGTGCAGATCGGCCTTGTGGATTTGTTGGCGGAGCTCGACATCTTGCCGACGAGCGTTGTTGGTCATTCGAGTGGCGAAATTGCCGCTGCCTATGCAGCCGGGCTTCTGTCGTTCGAAGACGCCATGACGGCCGCGTACTTCCGCGGAACGTTGACGGACCAGTTAATAGTGACAAATAAACGCGACAACACCAGCGCCGGCGCCATGATCGCGGTAGGTGCTTCGGCAGCGGCGGCGGAGCAACTCATCAACAAGATCGGCGGAGAGCACGGACGGATGAGAGTTGCATGCGTCAACAGCCCGGCCAGCGTCACCGTGTCTGGAGACGCGGCCGCTGTTGACCAGCTTGCCGTGGCGCTCGAGGCTGAGGGAATTTTCAACCGCAAACTCATGACCAACGGTGCGGCGTACCACTCCCACCAGATGGAGCCTCTGGCGAGTGACTATGCAAAGCGCCTGGAGGGCCTCAAACCCAGCGCGGTAGGCGTGTCGTCGGTTCGCATGTTCAGCTCAGTGACCGGCCAGGAGATCGGACATGAAACGTTACTAGATGGTAGCTACTGGGTGCAGAACCTTCTGAGCCCAGTTCTCTTCTCGCAAGCCGTCAAGCTCATGAGCGAAGAACGGTACGATGGTGAACCAATTGATACCATCGTCGAAGTCGGATCCCACTCGCAACTAGGCGGTCCGGTGAAGCAGATCCTCAAGACTCGCTCCAAAGGTCTCGGTGACGTGGCTTACACGCACACCCTGAAGAGGGGCAGCGATGCCGAGGAGTCACTATTGCGATGCCTCGGGTTCTTGTGCATCCAAGGGTCGCCGATACGCGTTGCCAGTCTGAACGACAGCGCAAACCAGCAGCCCGAGACGCCGGCGCTCCTGGCTGATCTTCCTCCCTACCCGTTCGATCACAGTCGCAGATTTTGGCACGAGAGTCGCTTGTCAAGAGACTATCGGGCACGACCCCATCTTCCACATGAGCTCCTCGGCACACTGTCCATAGACGTTAACCGCGTCGAGCCCCGTTGGCGGCGGTTCCTGAGTCTCAAGGAAACTCCATGGCTGCGAAAGCACATAATCCAGGGGCAGATTGTGTTTCCCGCAGCGGGATATCTGACAATGGCAGTGCAGGCGGCACGGCAACACTTGATGGCAACTTCTCCCACGACTCATGCTGAGGCCATCTCGCTCCGTAACGTCAACATCGGCAAAGCGCTCGTCCTATCAGATGACGAGGCGGACGTAGAAATCTCGCTCTCGCTTCGGCCGCAGGCGCGGACTGCGCGCGAGTCGTCGGGCGTCTGGAACGAGTTCCGCATCTTTACTGTGGCGCAGACCGGAGAGTGGACGGAGCATTGCCGAGGTTTGGTACGCGTTGAGACGAAGCAAGATCGAGAGCAGGCCGAGGCGGAATGGAGCGCAGCGCAAGACCAGCTCGTGTCCATCGTGGAACTGTGCGGACGTGAAGTATCGACAACCAAGTTCTACGCCCATGCGCGCGACATTGGGCTTGACTGGCAGACCCCGTTCGATAACGTTAACAGCGTACAACTTGGTCCCAACGCAAGCGTGGCAGTTTCACGCGCTCCAACCGGTCAGTTGGACCCAGGTGGCGTGGGAGACATTCTCCATCCTGCCGCTTTGGACTCGGTCTTATTCCACGGCCTCTACAATATCGCAATCGGAAATGGCGGCGCAAGTTCTGCACTTGTTCCAACCTTCATAAAACAGCTCCGGATTGGTGTTTCGCCTGCACAGGCTGGCAGTGAGCTGCTGACTGCGTCGACTAGGGACCAGGACGAACCGGCATATGATGTTCTCGTCTCCAGCAGGGGTAATGAGGCCACCGAGAACGGCATGACCCTGCACGCTCAAGGTATTCGCCTCACGGCCTTGCCAGGTGGCGTCGGTGCTGGCCAGGCAACACGGGAACTGGGCCATGACACGGAGTGGGTTACCTACTCCGAGGCCTGGACGCCGCAGCACCGAGAACGCATTTGCAAATCCGTGGTGCCGGCAGCATCGATGGTGACTCAGAATGAGATCCTCGACGCCTTGACCTTCCACCACATACAAAAAGTTCTCGGTGAGGTGTCTGTCGACGACATCGCCGAAGGCAGCTATTTCCGCCGGTACTTTGAGTGGATGCAGACAATCGCTAGCCGCGAATACGATGCCTCGCTCATCTCGGGCGAGGATGGTAGCAACATGGGAGCGTTTGGCGAGGCCATTTCCCGCGTGGGATCCCGCCTCCCTGAGATTCTCACGCAAAAGACGGAGCCTCTGGCCCTGCTCACGCCAGGTAACCTCCTATCTCGGCTCTACGCCGACGAGCGCTGCCTACGCTGCAACTTGCAAATGGCAGCGTGGTGCAAGGAGTTGGGCCTGCAGAAGCCCGGCCTCCGCGTGCTCGAAATCGGCGCTGGCACTGCATCCACCACCCTTCCAATCCTGGGTGCGTTGAAGGGCCGCGTCGGTCGATATGACTTTACGGATGTGTCTCCCGCCTTCTTTGAAAATGCCAAGAAGAGATTGGGGCCATTAGCGGAGTCTGTCGAGTTCAAAGTCTTGAACGTCGAGAAAGACGCGCGACAGCAGGGCTTTGAGGAGGCCAGCTACGATCTCATTATCGCCAGCAACGTCCTCCATGCGACACAGCGAATTGACGAGACCCTCGAGAACGTCCGTACGCTTCTGAAACCTGGCGGCAGGTTAATGCTTATGGAAATCACCGGCTACCGGCCCGTTTTACAACATCATTTTTGGCGTGTTTGAAGGCTGGTGGGCGGGTTATGGCGAGGGTCGCCGACAGTCACCGTTACTCGAGCCTGCCGAATGGGTGAAACGACTGAAGAATGTCGGGTTTGCGGAAGTTGAACCGTCCTTTCAAGATCATTCGGAAGAAGAAGGCGGCACCTTGACCGTCTTCGTCGCGAGCACTCCGCTACTACCCCGGGCACAGGCCCTCCCCCCAATCCAGATGCTCACTACAAAAGTAGGACAGTCAGCCGCAGAAGCAGCGTTGGAAAAAGCGAGCTCGCTTTTGTCGCAACACGAAGCCCAGCTTAGCCCAGTGACGGTTTCTGTTAAGGAGCTCAGTGCACCGCCCCAAGGGGGGGGTGTAGTTGTGGTTCTCCCAGAAATTGGCAGGCTGCTTCGCGACAATGTCGACACCAATTCTTGGTGCGGGTTCCAGAATTGGGTGTTGAACGCAAAGGCGGTGCTACTGGTCAGCCAAGATAGCAACGCAGACGCAGTCGATCCAGGGGTTGCTGGGCTTTGGACCGGATTTGCTCGTTGCCTCCGTCTGGAGCACCCCGAGATCCGCATCGTCACCCTGCAGCTCCAGCACCCGAATGATAGCGCACCCGAGCAGCTTGCTGCAATCCTCCCAACACTCCTGAAGAGCCCGACTTTCGATCTAAGCCGAAGTGACAACGGTGAGGTGGAGTGCGAGTTTGCCGTGAGAGATGGTCAGCTCTTCGTTGCACGCCTCATTCCTCGTCCCGAGATAACGGACTACGTTTACCGAAGCGGCCAGTTGGCTGAGCCCGAGCAGGCCCCGTTCCTGAACAACGGGCGTACCCTCACGGCAGTGTTGGGCATCCCGGGCTTGCTGGAAACTCTCCGTTGGAAGGACGACCAGGACGCACCGGCTGTCGGTCCCGACGACGTCAAGATGGAACTGCGAGCGGCGAGTGTCAATTTCAAAGACGTTCTCATTGCGGCCGGTCAGCTCGAGGGCATCACCGAGATGCGCAACGACTGCAGCGGTGTTGTGGTCGAAGTGGGAGCCAACATGCGCGAACGATTTAAGCCAGGGGACCGCGTCTGCGCTCTCTATTCGCGGTCCTACACAAATTATCCGGTGGTTCACGGTGATTGCTGCCAAATTATCCCAGAAACTATGTCCTTTGAAGAGGGAGCTTCACTGCCCATTGTGTGGTCGACGGTGTATTATTCGCTGGTGGAGATGGGCCGGCTGAAGCGCGCGGAGAAGGTTCTCATCCACTCCGGGGCGGGCGCCGTTGGGCAGGCCGCGATCATGCTCGCTCAGCACATTGGGGCCGAAGTCTTCGTCACAGTCGGCAATTCTGCCAAGCGTGAGCTGCTGCAGGATGCGTATGGTATTCCCGCGGACCACATCTTCTCCAGCCGAACCACTGCCTTCTACGGGGCGATCAAGCGCCTCACTGGTGGCTACGGCGTGGATGTTGTTCTCAACTCACTCAGCGGGGAGATGTTCCGCGAGTCGTGCAATTTGGTCGCTCCTTTTGGCCGTTTCGTTGAGATTGGGCGGAAGGACTTGATGGACGATGCGATGATGCCAATGGGCTTCCTGCTCAGAAACATCACCTTTGCCTACGTGGAGCTGACGTTGATCATGGAGAACAACAAGCCCCTTGCCAGACACATACTCCACTCCGTCGCAGACCTTGCGTCTGCCGGCCATATCCGAGCCGTGCCCTTAACGGTGATGCCCATCTCTGACATTGAATCAGCTTTCCGGCTCATCCAAGCGGGCAAGCATACGGGCAAGATCATCCTCAAGGTGGAGGAAGACCAGAAAGTCAAGGTAAGAAAGAATGTTGGGGGTGATGATAGGAACTAATTGAAATAAATACTAACAAAGATTACAGGCAGTGCCTCCAGCACCCATCCCGGCCAGGCTAAAAGCCGACGCAACATACGCAGTCGTCGGTGGTTTCGGTGGGCTTGGGCGTGCCGCTGTCTCGTGGATGGCGAGCCACGGGGCGCGAAACATTGTCTCGCTATCGCGCTCCGGAGCCAAGGACCAGGATAGTCAATCTTTCATCCAGGAGTTAAGTGCGGGAGGCATAAATGTTGTGGGAAAGGCCTGCGATATAGGATCCGCGGAGCAGATTGCCAGCCTCGCGCAAGAGCTCGAGAGTGCCGGGATGCCTCCGATCCGCGGCATTATCCAGTGCGCCATGGTTCTCAAGGTATGCTCCCCATCCATCCCTTGTGTTTGTCGACCAGCCAGCTGACTGCTTTCAAAGGACGCACTCTTCCAAGATATGACGGCAGATGAATGGAACTCGGCTCTCGTACCCAAAATACGCGGAACTGTGAACCTCGAGACGGTGCTGGGCGATGACCTGGACTTCTTCATCATGCTATCCTCGACCGTCACCGTATGGGGGAACATGGGGCAGTCCAACTACGCAGCGGGGTGCGGCTTCCAGGACACGCTGGCACGTCAACGCGTCGGACGTGGCCGGCCAGCTTATTCCATCAACGTTTGCTACATCACCGATGCGGGTTATGTCAGCGAGAACCCGGAAGTGGCCGAGGCGCTGCGGCGGGCGGGGCTGGGAGGAATGTCGGCAGCAGAGCTCCTCGCCGTGGTGAGCCGTTCGGTGGACCATCCTCTGGAAGGCGGTTGCATGGTCGGCGGCGTGCAGCCGCACAGCGGCCCAGGCGCGACCTGGATCAGGAAGCCGCTATTTGCTCACCTCGCGAAGCGCGATGAGGGCCCGCAACGAGAGGAAAGCGAGACGGCCGACATCGCAACGCTGCTCGGCGCGGCTGAAAAGCTTGACGATGCCGTAGAGATGATATGTGAGGCGATTCTGCAGCAATTGGGCAAGCTAATGGCAACGCCCGCCGACACACTCAGCGCGGCTCGGAGTTTGGATAGCTATGGTGTCGACTCGCTTGTCACGGTCGAGCTACGGAACTGGATTGGCGCCTATCTCGGGGCCAACGTCCAGCTGATGACACTGAGGGGTGCGAGCAGCATTAATGCGCTGGCTAAAATTGTGGCGAAAGAGTCGCGGTTGGTGTGTTTTGAAGTTGCGGAGTAGAAGCGAGGGATTCTTTCCTTCAGTCGCAGAGGGGGTTTAGGTTAATTTAGCTGCAGTATATTGGAAGTGGGGTCCACCCACTCACTCACTCACCAGAATCACCACAGCATGTTCCAAGCAGGCAGGAGGCAGGTTGTTGTTTTCATTTTTGGCGTTGGCAAATATTTATTTAGTTCCAAGACAATTCATTCCAATCCCCAACGGCTTTCTTCGTTCGTAATGGCTGCGATAACTTTATTTTTTCAGTTCTCCTTGACAGTATTCGATAGTCGATACTGGAATATTAGACACAGGACCATCCAATGATTCAACTCCCACTTCAATGTGCCTGGCGTTATTATTCTCAAAGGATCCGCCGAGTCTTCAAAATTCTTGTCCCGGAAAACATTTGCAATTACTAATTAGCTAGTTACCGCATTCACCAACGCAACTTAATCCTGCCGCCTCACACCCAGTCTCAAACTCCCAGTCTCACTGACTCACACTGCAGCCACAAGGGGTAGAGCCCTTAGCTCCCTTTTTAGCACCTTGCCACTCGCGCTTTTGGGGAGTGCTTCCACAAACACAATACGGTCATGCAACCAGTGAGTCTCGTCCAACCGCTCCTGCACGTAATCGTCAAGCATGTCCATGAGATCGTCTTCGTCGTAGTCGTCTTTCCCCGACTGCGAGCGTACCACGAAGGCTTTGGCCCGCTCCCCAGCGCTTTCGTCGCGCACGCCAATCACGGCCACGTCAGCAACGGCCGGGTGCTCCCGCAACACGAGCTCGATCTCGATGGGAGCCACTTGAAGCCCCTGGCGTTGGACTTGTGTGTCAGCTGAGCAGCTCTACGTCAACAAGAGAACACGTTCTCGGGAACCACCCACCTTGACCTTAATCATCTCCTTAATCCGATCCAGGATAAAAAGGTGCTCGGCACCATTGGGGCTCTTCTTGAACATGCCAATGTCGCCAGTCCGCAACCAGCCGCTCTCGTCGAAGGACTCCTTAGTCGCCTCTTCGTTACCAAGATATCCCTTGAAGAGGTTGGGGGACGAGAGAAAAATCTCTCCCGCTTCGTTGAGTGACTCAATTTCTTTCCCGTCAGGGCCGACGAGGCGAGCTTTCGTCAAGGGCACGAGAGAGCCCGATGAACCAGCCCATGTATCGTGCGCACCGGTCAAGGTTGCGGTGAAGACACTCTCGGTCAATCCTATTGTACACACGGCCGGTTAACGTTGAATGGGTAGAGGGGTGGATCAGGTGTACCATAAACAGTTATGATCTTGCACTCGGGAAGTTGCGCGTGCAGACTGTCCACCAGGCTTCGATCTAACCCTGAGGCGCCGTTGAAGATGGTTTTTACAGAGGACAAGTCGAACGTTTCAAAGAAGAACGGGTTGGTTATCAAGGCAACGATAATTGGCGGCGCCTTGGGTCCGTCACGTCAGCACTCTAACCAAGGTCGAGAAACGGTACGCGTACGTACCAGACAGAGCCTTTCGATGCGGTACCGCTGAACTGACTGCAGCATCAGCTGCATGTCAAAGCGTGGGAGGACAACAAGGGTCTCTCCTCGCCAAGCTGTGAGGTGGCCGATCAAAACCCCGTAGCCATGAGTGAATGGGACTACGCCTGATACGACCTGTGGGCGCCAAGATTCCTTATGGACATGCTCATGGGTAGACATTTGCAAGATATTGACTATGATACCATAATGCGTGATCTTGGCGAGTTTCTTCCGGCAGGGCGTGCAGTCAGTGCAGGGACTTGAATTTTGAGGACATGGGACTTACCTGTCGCCCCGAAGTACCGCTTGTCGCGCACAAATATGCCACCTGGTCCTTGGCTTGACCCTTCTCCCAAACCAACGGCGGAGGTGGCCCCGTCTGGGCACCTATGGCAGCCAGGTCCTCCAGGCTCTTGAAGTTGCCGGTAGGCTCGGGGTTTCTAAGAAATCCATCCGGCAATGGGAGTGTGAATATCTTCGTCTGGGGGATGGACAAGCAATTCGCAGCCTCAACCGATGCGGATATGAGCGTTTGGCAGGTGAAGATGGCTCCGCACTTGGCCGACCTCATGTGTGTCACTATCTCATTCACGGAACTGGTTGGTTGAAGCAACAAGCAGATGCCATTGAGACGGTGGATGGCCCAACTGAGTGCAAAGAGGTCAATCTAAAACAGTATTAGTATTATCAACCGGTCCTTGGATGTTACAAAAAGTCCATACCGTGTTGAGGCTGTAAATGGCCACCACCTTGTCCCAAGGCGAACCCTCATCAGGGGACCACCCGAACTCCTTGGCCAGGCCCCCGGCCACACACTCGACTCTCTGGTGCAAGTCCGCTCGAGAATATGACTTGCCTGAAAGGCCGTCGACCAGCAATACATCGGAATCACCTTTGTCAGAGCCGTCGTTCACCCCTGCGAGACTGAACTGGCCTAGGGGAATCGAGTCTGGGATCAGCCATGGGATATCTGGCACCCACGCCGGGCTCGAGAACACCATATTGGCCAAGGAAATCGACTAGGTAAAGAGGAATGTTCGGACGGTGCTCACAAGAAGCGGCAGCTGTTTCGGCGAGGACTGAGTGAATCCCTAGGTACCTGAGGTAAGTTCGTGGGTGAGTCTGACCGCTCTGGAGTCTGGAGTCTGGACTCTGTGCGAGTCTGCGCTGCGAGTTAACCAGTATACCTATAAACCCAAAAAGAAAACCCGCAAAGTACTTCGTACATGTCTCTGACCCACCGAGCACGTATCTTACCACACAGTATTGTCCAAAAGCAAAAAGGGTGTCGATCATGGAGAAGCGAGAGCCAGAGATCGCCAAACCGCCAAGCAATTGTGTCTCTCTCGTTGGCAGGTTCACCGCAGCTTGACGTCTCGCTTGGCGTTCAGCTGTCATCAACAGAGACACGGTGACCAAGACAGCAAGATCGACAGCTGGACACCAGCTCAGTCCAGCTCAGTTTATTTGCGGCTAACGCGCACCGGCCCCAAATCATTGGTATTTGACACGAAGCTCCGGTCCTTCTCACCCGGGCTGCTGAGCGCATCTGGATCAACAGTCTAGAACCAGGGTCCGAGTCAGATTTAGTGTAGGCAATTCATTGATCACGTCAAGACAGTTGGGCAGTCAGGTTCCAACGACCATCAGCTTTAACCCCCCGTCCAGCCCAATCGGTATCTCGCTTGTGGGGGGCCACCTCATGTGGAACTTGAACTAATGGAGGACTAATCGGTACCATTCCGTTGATAAAAGGTAACATTGTAAGTACCAACGTACCTCGGCATATTCCATATCGTGAATCCTCAATGGGGAAAGAGAGAGACAGAACCCAGATGCCACCAGACGGTAGATAGGTATGTACTGTGTACCTAGTTGATGTGACTGAAGGTGTGTGTACTCCCTGTGCCACCCGACACACGCTAGTAGCCATCACAACTAACAAGTGAACTATTACAGAATCAGCAATCCGCAAGTATTGATTGATATCGGGTGCATGAATAAACTCACGACTGCTGGTCCTGGAACGACGTAGTTGGTGATAGCTCCATTGTAGATCTGTACCTCGGGTTAATAAACAAATGTCAAGCACAACCACCCACCCTCGCCGCCGCCGTGGCTTCTTGCGAGTAAACTTACGTTGACATTCAATCCCGGATCACTGCTCTTGATAGCCCCCGGGATTAGCGCAGTCGGGGACGGTGTCTTGCTGCCGCCGTTGGTCACCTTGACTTGAGCACAGCTAAGATAGAACTACACAACAGTCAACACTTTTGTTTGGGATGATTGATGTTAACAAGTTATAGGGGCAAAAATCAGTCCTACCTGAGGCGCAGCGCCGGGGTTGTGAAGCCCAATCTGCTGGATGCGGAGGAGGTATTCACCGTCAGGGATGCAGCTGGGGATGTTCTGCGTGTACGAGTCTAACCCAACCAACCCCGTATTAGCGACCACCACCACCACAGCTCCACAACACCTGACACTAGCAACAGCCAAGACTCACCCCTCATGGGCCAGGTCGAGCCGGACGGGCCCCAATCATAAATCTTAAACCACGGCCCACTTCCGTCATAGTCCGCCGCTGCACCCGGCGCCTTGGACATGTACAGTGAGACGGGGCCGGCATGGTAGACGGCCGTGTCGAGGGTGAAGGTGAACTGGTCGCCGGCCTTCATGGTGATGGTCTCGGTGCCGTTGCTGACCTGGCCGCCGACGTTGCAGCGGAGGTCCGTCGACGACAGGTCCGTGACGGGGCCGTTCTGCAGCCACGCCGGGTTCGAGTTGCGCCGCACATACTTCCACGCCGGGTACTTGGTGCCCCCTGACGAGAATTGCTGAAATATGTAATGCCCGGCAACGCTGTTGACGGCCAGGGCCGCGGCGGCGGTGAGTTGGAGGATGGACTTCATTTTTGATGGGTGGAGGTTGAGGGTGGTGGAACTTGTGGAGTGAGTGGAGGGGGAAGCCGGATTTGGTCGACGGGAGGGCACGGTAGTGCTTGCTTTATATCAACTTCAGAACTATGGGGGCCCAGGGGTGTGATTCTGGGGAAGGCTGGCTGGCATGATTAGGGCCGAATCTAGACCTAGGAGAACGCACGTCTGCCGGCCCGGCCGTAAGGGGGGACACCTTACTGTAACCTCGCGGATCACAACTCCTACGTGCCGCTCTTTTAGCTTTGTGGGGTCAACTCTTGCGATATTATTTGCATCTACGCTTGGCGGACGGACTCGTGCCTCCGAGGATTCAACGAATCACACCATCCCAGTTTATTACTCGGCAGTTCCATGGCCAAATAAGAAAACGGAAACCTGAATCGGGCCAGGACGAGCGAAGCACACCGACAAGGAGGACATATTTGGTTGGCTGGCCATGATACCAAGAGATATAGCCCCTGTGACTGAGATGGGAATCCGGGTTGATGAATCCGGAATTTGCTTGGCAACGGAGGTGACCAGGGAGGCAATGTTGACATCCATGTTGATGTTGGTCCTGAAATAGACTTTGACAAAATGGTGAGGCAGGGAATGGTTACCGCCATGGATTACAGGGATTGCTATTTGCGAAGAGAAGAAGGCTTGAAGCGTGATCAATAGAAACACCTACCTACTTAAGTGAGTCCCCAGCAGCGTGATCAAATCCTCATTTACCTGCCTAGGGAAGGCAAAGTGTTGCTAGGTTTCAAATATATCCAATAGGGGTTCCTGTTTAGGTCCAAGTTGGCTACCTACCAGGTAGATAGTAACCCAAGTTCAGTGAGTTCCCTCTGCCGGATTCTAGCTCTTGCCGGTTTCTAAACCCCGACCTCCGTCAGTGTCAGTTAACTACCGTAAGATGGTCTTGTCCCGGGGAGATCAGTACTCTCAACCCCGAATCTCAGTGGTTCTTTTAGAATCATTGGGCAGGGTTATGGTGTGCAGGAAGGGTCAAACAAGGCACTCTTTATTTGTGCCCTTGACCCGTGTACAGCTGCAATGTTAATCAGAGTCAAGGAAATCGGATACGATTCCTCACTAGATTGAACACTTCAAGTACCTAACTGTATTTCTTCTCTGTCTGCTTAGGTCCATGCATTATGTATGGGGCTATAACTACCTACCTAAGTACACGGCACGGCAATGGATCTTGCGCTTTGCTGAGGTGCTATTCTGCCCTTTGAGCAACTACATGTAGCTAACCTAAACCTAACCATCCTCCCTTACAATAATAAACCAACAAGTACCTAGTGGGAATTGACATAAAGATGGAGCATAACCGGGATTCTGGGCTTTACAACCAGACTAAGGATATCAATACATATATGTATCTAGATAAGGTAGCTGGAACCCCCTTCAAGTCCATGCTGTCCACTGAACAATTGCCTCCGACTCGAGACGGTGGATAGCCAACACGTGAATCTGGTACGACCCCTCTAGGGCTCTCGCAAGCGCCCTAGCAAAAAGTCCAATTCGTGGCCACCTTATCCGTCCCAAGTTTGGCAATCCCAAGTCCAGTGAGTCGCCGTTACAGTTGGCAGGTGAGATGAACAAAGCCTGGCCGCCACCGGTGGAACAAGAGCCCGGCTATTCACCTCAGCAACTGTTCCAACTCCACGACAACACAGTTATCCCCGCGTCAGCCTTGTCAGGTCAAACATGGGATGAAAACAAAACAACGGCGTAGACCGACTGCGGCCTGCCGGCGGTCATGTGTTCCAAGTTCTGCAGGAAATATTATAAAGCAGTTGCCACCAAGCAAACCCATCCTGCAGCCCATGTTTCCCACAACCACGCAACCTTGCGATCCCGACAACCTCGGTTTTTCTCTTGGCTCAAATTTGAGTGAACCTTTCCACGCTACAAACTCGACGCCCAAGATGTCTACTCCACTCTCTCCCTTTTCCGAATTACTTCGTCGAAGATTTCCATCAAATAACTTGGAACTCTCATCTCCTGCGTGGACCACACCGAACAACAGCACCCCGGTTTTCGGTCGCATGGCGCGCAATGACAACCGAGCCAACGAGCTCGGATTTTCCGCGCTCCGAGATAGAGAAGAGCCGGATAGTCTCGACAAACACCTTTACCAAGGGGGCCAAGGGCACCAAGGCCCAGCTTACCGTGAGCAGCAAATCAACCACTCTTGGAGGGCTCCCAGGACTACTGTAACACTCCCCTCAAAACTTTTGGAGACCAAGCCATCCGCAAACTTCGGCCGTCTCACCATCGACTCGCCGCTTCACAGTGGGCGCTAGGACTTCCATGGTGGTCGCCCCCTCGGGCGCAACATTCCATGACCAGTCGATGTCGTCACCAGCCTTTGCCAGGACTCTGGCGACGTTCCAAGTCAACGGCGAGCCAACCTACACTGACACAAACGCTTCGATGGCAACCAATACCGCCATTGACAACGTGGGTTTCTACCATCCGATGAACTGTCGGGTGAGGAGCATGGCGTCAACCGAGCAGGAGGTCCATGCGCTCCTCCTCAAGGGGTTTTCGCCCAACTACCGAGGGGACCCGGGCCTCGCGCGCAACCAGCCGGCAGCGGTACCCGCTGACGAAAACTGCAGCCTCTTTGTCGTCGGCCTCTCGCCCGACCTGACGACCCACGAGCTGCTGTCGGGTATTCGCAACATCGGTCGGGTGTACGCCACCCACATCAACCCGCCTGATCCGGCGCGTGGACATCTCTACAGCGCCGCGAAGGTGATCTTTTTCGAGCGAGAGGCAGCCGGTATGTATCCATCCCATGAACCCTCCATCCCCGCCCACCCAGCCCAACCCATGGTCCACCAACCATTCACTCCACACAACAACTTGAAACAAATGAAACAACAACTAACCCACCCCCCAGAACGGTTCTACACCACCCACGCCTCCACGGGCTTCGCAACCCCACAGCACCCACACCTCCGCGCGCGCGTGACCTGGAACCGGGTGCGGTCGGGCGAGACCGACAAGGGCGGCGACCGGGTCGCGGGTGCTGCTGGTGAGCGGGCCGCGGGCCGTGGCGGACGAGGCCTTCCTGCGCGCCTACCTTGACACGAAGCTCACCTACCAGACCGACGAGGTGCTGCACCGCGGCGCCAGCCCCGACGGCGCGCGCGTGCTGCTCGAGTTCCGCTTCGGCAGCTACCGCTGCCAGGCCGAGGCGGCGCGCATGGCGCTGATGAGGGAGTTTAGGGAGGTGGGGGTTGTGTGTGTTTATGGTGGGTTGCATCCATTGCTTGGATCTTCCGAATGTTGTGGGCTTGTGTGAATGCTAACAGACGTGGTGGGTGTAGGACGCGATCCCTGCTGTGATCCTGAGCCGAAGGCTGAGGAGTTTGACCTAGCCTAACCGGACATACTGTGGGCGGTGAGCCCCTCGATTACCTGTCGGTTATCAAAACGGGGGGTTGGAGGCGGAAAAGCAAGAGGGGTGACCGGAATGCAGCGAACAGGACCATGAACAGTGAACAGTCCGAACGGAATCCAGACACGATACAGTGATGGAAGAGAGTGAAAGGATACTAGATTTGGACGAGAAACATGTTATTTTTATCCATGCCCTGGATAAGCAAGCCTCAAAACAACACGAGCGATGATTTGACCGCATCGTCATGTTTCTTTTCTGTCGCATGGAGTATCTAGGTAGTGTACTATCATTGTATGTATGATCATAGGAAGGAAGTTGGAAGTTGTTAACTTTGACCCACAAGACATCCTGGTCAGTTGCAGGATAACCCTAACCCTTTGTTCCAACGCTCATGACGTCACCTTCGATCCTCTTTCATGATACAGCTCCCTGACCTGGCAGCGGCGATGATGTAGCACCGATGAGCTGTGTTTCGCCGCCCAAAAGCCAGTAACCAATCCCAGGGAAGAAATGGCAAGAATGACTTGCAACAGGGACTGGTTGCATCCCTAAACGGATTACGTCATTTATTGCCCCGGAGCTTCCTTTCCACAAGCTAAGGTACCGAGGGGTACCAAAATGATGGAGTACAGCTATCAAGAGCAAAGAAGGAGAGGAGCTCCCTCTTGTACGCAGCTAATGGGACAAACAAAATGATAACCCGTTTTGGCCTTTCTGTCCAACAAACCAGAATCGCTGGGGCTGAACCAGGAAGCAGTGACGTCCTTGACCCGCCACACTGAGCACCTTCCCACCCCTTCGCCCAATTCACAAAACCACGACCCCTCTCGACCTTCTCCCTTGCCCGCATTGACCAAGATAGCGCAACCTAAACACCAAAAATCCCATCAGCACACATCAAAAACACACATCTAAAGTTGACCGAACGAGCCAACGAACTAAAATATCATGAGGATTGCCAAAACTCTCCTCCCGTTGGCGCTGGTGGCCAACGCAGCTGTTGCGAGCTCGTGGTTCTCCAATGCCGGTACGCTGCGATACCTAGTCTCCCTATTTGCCGGCATTTTACTGACGTCACATCAAAGCATACAACAAGTGGCACGAGACGGAGCTTGAGCGATGGCTTTCCGACCACGACGTCCCCTACCCAACCCCGGCCGACCGCAAAGACCTCGAGCAGCTCGTGCAGAAAAACTGGGATGCGAACGTTGTAGAGCCCTACAATAAGTGGGATACCGCGAAGCTCACCGACTACCTAAAGGTCAAGGGCGTCGAAACCAAGGAGTCAGCCGAGGAGACCCGGGAGTCCCTCCTTGCGCGCGTCAAGAGCTCTTGGTACGAATCAGAGGAAAAGACACAGAATGCCTACGCCAATGTCAAGGACAGGATTCTCGATACTTGGACCGACAGCCAGCTCAAGGCCTTTTGCGACCGTCATGGTATCCCTGTTCCTCAGCCTCGCAAGCGAGACACGCTCCTCCAGAAGGTCCGTGAGAACTACGAGGCCGTCGCCCAGAAAGCCGGAGAGGCAGCCGCTTACCCAAGAAACTGGTTGTATGAGACCTGGACAGGTGAGTTGGTCCAAACTTCTCAGCAACACATACCGGTACTGACCGT